TTCATAATCTGTGCAAAAGACACGCAATAAATGCTTTTCACGGACACGAACCACCGACATCTTACTCAAAACGTACGTCGCAGACCACTAAACGTTGCATCATCAAAACGAGCTGCACCCATCAGCCACTCTGCCCTTCTGTTGCCTAATCGACGATTAGAACAATGCGCGATTTGAGGAAGTAGATTTTCGGAAATAACGTCTAACGTTGTGAATGACTAGCGGCCAAAGTAAAAACTTTACTAAAAATTTTTTTAGTCCAAATGCGTAAATAATAATGTTGCGAAATAAACTTAGCATGGTAATCTTCAAAGCCTAGATAAGCAAGTAACGAAATGAATTTTTAGAGGAGGCATTCCTTTTATCGTTGAGACCTTACCTGGGTCAGGACAAATCCAGTTGCGACCAAGAATAATGCCTAATTACTTTACCGATTTATTAAAAAAACACATTTTTTTCTTGAAATGAGAACCAAAAAGTTCTACACGTTCTAACACTGTACGAAGACGCTTCAGATAATCAATACTGGTTGGTATTGAAATCAGAATATCATTTAAGTAAGGAACAACTTCTGATGAACCAGAGATCATTTGAGGCACAGTTTGCTGAAAGATTGCTAAAGCTGTATTGATCTCAAAGGGTAGACGGTTGTATTGGAATAGACCGATATGCTTATTAATTACTGACGGCTTTTTCGAATTGCTATCAACTGGAATTTGCAAATACGTATCTGAGAAATATAAACGAAAAAAGAAGTTGCCATTATTAAATGTTGCAAAAATGAGGTCAGATGCAACCAACGATGACTGATATATATTAATCACTGCATCAGATCCAGTTGAGAAGTTGGCGCAAATTTAAATTTCAACGTCCCTTTTTTTAACAACTACAGCTGGTGCTGTCCACTGCGAATAAACTACTGAGAGTCTGATTTTGATCCATCAGACGACACTATTCTTTCTGAAGTAAAGAACGAAGTGCACACAATACAGCACGTTAAAGCTGAAAAATTGTAGCAATATCTGGCTTTAATTTTGCGTGTCCTTTTATCTGTGTGCACAAATCGAGATCAATCTAGAAGGTCGACAATAATTACAAAAAAAATTTTGGTGAAATAGAATTCTCTTGAATGATTTTACAAAAAATCGGTCAAAGGCTCAGTACGCAAACCTAACAAATTTCGTGACACTTGCATTAGTAACGTCAGAAAGGATCTTCAAAGAGATAAATTGGTGCGCTGTCAAGCGAGTGAAAAATTTTTCAAATGGTTTGATATCAACAGCGACAAATTACGCCACTGCGAAATAGGCGCAAAAATTGCAATAATAAGATTCTAGGCTACAAGAAAGAAGCTTTTATAGAAAATACAGCAAATAATACCTATTAAAATTATGCGTCAAACTCATATTACTTTTGATCCAATTGCAAGCAAGATTTATCAATTGAAACACAAGGAGAGAGTTTCACCGGTAATGTAAACGAATTATTTGTCTCGTTATCAAAATTAGTCTAATTTATCTGCAGCAATACGCTTCAGTTACTTTAAAGTTTTTTCAATCATTCAATGAACTAATTTTCGCAGGTTAAAAATGAGCGCTAGTTTCAGATTGTAATTAATTTAAACTACTTAGTCTTTTAATATGTAATACAAAAACAATTTCTACTGTTTCTGCACTTGTGGCTGCAAAGTCTAAATTTGTTTTCAAGCTGAGTTTATAAAATGAGAATTCTTTTTAAAAGACTTTTCTTGCCACTAGCCAGTTCACTGTTAATTCTCTGCTGGAGCGCATCATTTGTCAAAAACTCGTCTTTTTCAGCTAATTTTTTGAAGACGCAGAAGGTTTGTTTAAAAATGATAATATTCTTTCTATTTACTTTTTTTAAGCGTTAAAACTCTTACAAATGTGTTTCTTTTTAAAAATACCTAGAGTAAAATAACTGAAATAGTTGAAAAATAATTGAAAACAATTGAAAACAATTGAAATAATTTTTAAAAAAACGGTGAGATTTGAAGCTTTCCTACGTCATTTTGACACTCTTATGGTTTTCAGATCATAAAAAATGTAAACCTGATCTCATCTCTGGTATTATAGGAAAGAGAAAGCATGAATCATAGAAACAGCAGTCACAGCTATCTAAAAACCTTCGTACTAATGAGCATATTCAAATAAAACAAAAATGCTAAAAATATTTCTCTAGCTAACCTTTAACAGTTGCTTATTCTGTAGACCCTAGAAAGAATTTGCAAAATCGAAAACAACTCTTCGCAAAAGTTTACTTTTTAAAGTTGCGACATTTATTGTACAGAAGCATAAAAATATTGGACATGCTTAATTAAGCTCTGTTTGAAAAGTTGTAACTTTACGCCTTATAAGCGACAGTTTTTTTGCTCGTAAAACGTCTTTCATACTTCTACCTGACAGTACCTCACCATTTTCTGCAATTTAACGTGTTATGAACTGTCATAAAACAAACTTTTTTCTGCAGGCTTGTTTTATTTTGCAGTCAGCTTCTGAGGTCTAGAAGTCAAACAAGGTCAGAGAAAATTTCAAGAACCTGAGGAAAGCAAATGCTCAGTTCAATAGCTAATGACCGAATAAATTGTTTTAGATTTACTTTCTGAGCGCATATCTGATGACAAACAGCCAAATAAAAGTAGCATTGATGACAAACTGCTATTATTTTCCAAAACTATTGCTTCAAATTGAAGGCGGTAGACCAGCTTCTTTGAAGTTGTCTCAGTTTCAAAGGTGCAATGAAGTTTTTAGTAAACCGTAAGTCATAAATATAATAAAGTTTGCTTTGAATGGTAAATATTAAATGCTAATTCTGTAAGTAATAAAATCAATTCTGAAAAACTACGTAATTTGGTACACTTCTTAAGATTTAGAAAAGTATCCTACTATTATAAAAGATAAAAAACCCCTAAGAAATAAGCACTTCAAAATTATCCAGATTTTCTTCTACTTGGGTCTGCAGCCTGACAAGTGAAATAATTTTCAGCAGTTTGAATCACCTATAGTACAGCTCTGGCTTTCTTCTTTTACTTGCTTCTTTTAATGACATAATGCGTAAGAATTATAACCAGTTTCAAAGAAGTTAGTCATTCCTGTAGTTTAGAAGTATTTTCTAGTCACACCTGTTTGAAACCAGTTAGCTTTATAACTTAAACTTTATTAGGTGCACGTATGAAGGAAAATATGGAACTGCTGATTACGCAAGGCCTATTCAGACGTCTTTGGTTCTAAATAGAACGTTGAAGTTGTACGTCTTCCTCAAAACTGAGCCAAAAAGAAAAAAAGTCTTGGAAATCATTGACTTGAGAGTAAGTCAGGAGGAGAGGAAGGCGCATAGATTGGCCGTTTGTGCAGGTCCGGTTTGGTTATATGCTAATTGGGCTAGCCTACCATTTTTTTTTGAGGTAAACTTTAACCTACTAAACAGTACTTTTATTACTATCTTTTTTTTTAAAGAAGGTGATACCACTGTCTGCGTGATTCTGAATCTATTTCACCATTTTCTTGAATCTAGTTATGAAACTGTTAGGCAGTATTGATGATTGCAAAGTCTAAACTTTGCTCTTTTGTCTAAATAAAGTCAAAATGTTAACAAACTTTAGAGTTTCTTGTTCGCTAAATTCGGTCTCATTTATTACTCGTCTTAAAAGGAGAATTTCTCTAATATTTTAAAATTATCAAGGGTCAGTGAAGAAAGTTTTCAACTGTCACTCTGTACGCTTAATTTTTTTTATAGCAGTTTCTGCTCCGTGTTTCAGATTTTTATAACCATCAATTTATAGACGAGGATCACAAATGGTGCAACAAAATTTTATTTTTATGTCAACAGTATCACAAAGGAAGTTGATGGAATTTTTCGCCTTTACGAAAACGATCCAACTATTAGTCTGGAACGTATTCTGTGGAATCAGTTCCCTACAGAAGCAGACGTTCCAGATGAAGAAAATCCTAACAACCTTATACAAGTCGGCGCGGTAAAGTTTACTTTTACATTCAGGCTTTTAGCAGATCCTTTTGAAACATCTAAACCTCGCTTTTGTTTGACTCTTTCTAGCAGGTCTTCGTATTTAATGATTGCATTCTCCGAGCGACAGGAAATACAGATTACTTGGCATTGTCAGATCTTGATGAAAACTTTGTGGCTTTTGACAATCGTACACTGTTGTCGACTCTAGACAGCCAGTTAGAGAAAAACAAAAATATTGCTTCCATTATGTTTCAGAGTACATATGGAGAGCTAATTGTTAGTTATATGAAATTCGCTGTTGCTTTTCTCTACACAAAAAGTTTTTGGAAGACCAATCGGATCATCAAGTTTTTCCCTTTTATTGACTGACATTTTTAAAATTCTTCTAAAGCTACTTTAGCGGCTTCGCCAAATATTAAGTTCTGTCTGCTACCTTGAGAAAGAGAAAGTTTTCTTTAATATTTGCTGCACAAAGTAAATGACCTTCAACTGTGTGTTAAATTTTCAGGAAAATTATTCAAATGTAACTCACCCAACGCAAATCCGTTTTGACAACTATAAGAATATTCTGACAAGAAATAAACCTTACCCACCGGTGTATTGGAGTAAGGTGCGGCGCTAAAATTCAAAGTTCTATTTTTTAGCTCTGCTAGATTACTCAAAAAAAACGGTTTGTTGAGTAGACAAATTTAGTTGTTCTTTTCTTTAAAACTTTCAGGTAGTGGTTATTCCTGAAAGAATTTTGTCCCAGGGTGTGCACGAAACTATGAAAGTAATTAAACCGTTTAAAAAAATTGTTATGAATCCAAATATCAGCCAAGTGTATCACATTAGGTTACTAGCATCACTTTTTTAGTACCAAAAATCATTTTAACGAAAGCACCTAGCCAATCTTTTTGTAAAACGTTTCGGCATTATTTTTTCTGTGAGAACCAGAAGCAAAAATACTTAGTGACTCTACATTATTCGGTGGATTTAAAAAACTTCAGACTGGTTCACTCGCTTTCACTTCAGCAGAATGAGCTAAAACCTAGCAGTATTCTTAGAGAACGTGTGCCAGTATGGAATTCAAGATACTTGAAACGGCTAGAACAGGAAAATCTACGCTTAAAAAACTATAGTAATCCAGGCTATCTGACTCTCAAACGAGTGTATTGGAAAAATGTTGGTTTAAAGGTAATAGCCTTTTGGAAACTGAAAATAATTTTGAAGTGTCTTTTTTATGCTGTGAAACTGTTTTTCGTTTAGGTTGCCTTGAAAAATTATGAAACATAAAACAATAAAAAAGTATTTACGGTAAAAAATTTGATGTATAAACAAGTAACTAACAAAAAAAATTATTTCGCAAGTTTTTTGTGACATCAGAAACAATTAAAAAAACTGAAAAAAATTTATCATAGGTGATGAAAGAAGTAGATCGATGTTTTTTCAAAGTTAAAGAAGGCGGACATCGCGAATGTCTTTCATACAGCAGGTGCCTCTCAGAAATTACGTCTGTTAGGAAAGAAGATTGGATCTATCCTCAAATAAATTGGACGGTTCTTTAGGCGACTAAACTGAACGAGTGGCTGTTGCAGATATCTCAAACTCTTTTAATTATAAGAAACTGTTTCAGAGAATTAAACTGCAATTATTTTCTTTATTTCTATCTTGAGACCGCGTGGATAGCAGAAAAACAAGAAGCAACTGGTCGACAGTTTACGTTAATGGTAGATGTCATGCAGATAACTAGATTAGGATCGTAAATATTATTTGTGTGTTAATTACAGGAAAAGTAAGCAAAACTTTTTTGTTGCATGCGCATACGAAGTGTAACGAAAAGTTTTTGCTTTTTTAAGGTTTTACCGAACGGTTTTTAAAATTTATTGCCTTTCTGTCTCTTTTCTACCGCGATTTTAGCAGAAATTCTCGTTTTTTACACATATTTTTTAGCCTAATTACTTCAGTAACTAGTTAGTTAGACTGGAAAACTTGTCACTTTTTCTGCCACAGGATTCTACATAACTAGAGTTGAAGAACTCTGCAGAAAATTTAAAGTTTGAGCTATTACGAGAAAGGTAACTGGTTTTGAAAGAGCTGTTGAGAAAAACGTATCTTCTGAATAAGTAAGAAAATATTGAAAAAAAACACGAGGAGAAGAAGAAATATTAAAAAAAATCAGTAAATAAAAAAGGAACAGCAGTCTTACCAGTGTTCAATTTTTGAACGTTTTTCAAAAGAATGGTTCTTTTTCGAGCAAAAATTTGATTTTTTGCATGTAGCGTAAGGGGAGGGACACGGTAATCCTATTCCTACCCTAATTCTTTTTCTACTGTTTGATTCCTTGTTGCTAGATCACTAGACGTCGATAAAAGCCAAAGATAACAATGTAACTTTACTCAGTAAAAATTACTATTAAAGTTTACAGCTTTCAAATGCTCTACTTCCTTCACAATTATAATTTCTCAATACGGCAACAGATGTTTCTCAATCATATTGTTCTCATTGAAACAGTATAGGAATCAACGTTTCTGCGATAAGTTTTTGTTTTAAATTACTGCACACTGAAAGTAATTTTTTTATTTGACATTGATTTTGAACTTCTAAAAAGTTGTCAATGTTATTTTCCTAGAATGTTTAACAGTAACTGATACACATTTCAATAGTTTTCAAATCGGTTTTTTCCTGTTGTCAGTAAATTTACTTAGGCAGTGCTGAGTTTCCTTAAATATAAACACTTCAGTTGTAATTTTAAACTCTGTAATAGAGAAAGACTTTTTTTTGGTACACAAAACACTGTTCTACTTGTAATTTTTAGGTCCCAAATAACTGTGATTCAGATATTTATTTATTAAGTATGTTTTACAGAAAACTCAGTTCAGTAGAAAAAAATTTTTCTTTAGTCAAGATGATGTTGGATTCTATACGGTTACTTTTTCAATAAAAAATAAATTGAACACAAAAATACATAACGATGATATTATTTGCATACTTTTTGTTTCATGCTTTGTTTTTTTTTTTTCCTCAGACGATTCTTTTTAGTTGACCGTACAGCGATAGCTGTTAAAAATTGTTAAATAATTCTTGCACTTTTTTATCCCACTTTAACAAAATAACTTCTCTTTTTTTTGCAAAACTCAAAGAAATGCTGTACTGTTTTTGCGCTAATTGTCACAGCAGTTTTACAGATAAACTGAGAAACTTAATCTTTTCTAATAATTCAATTTTATAATTTTCTAGTTGATATTTTTTTCTTACTTACAAGTTACCAGTAAAAGTTTTTTTGGCTATATATTGCATAAGCGTATTGCAGAATTGGAATCGATAGGGAAGCCAGAAAAAAGGAAAATCTTGCTCTTTTTGGAAACGTTGTTATTGTTGTTTTTGGAAATTTGGAAGGGAGAGGGAGGTGAGGGGAGGGAAAACAGAACGGAGTAATACTGAAACCACTTTTTTGTTTTGGACAAGTTTTTTTTCCTTTTTTTGATCTGTAGACAAGTTTAACCGCTTGATTTTTCTTTTTGCTACCGCTGCTGCTTCTACTGTTGTTGCTTATTGACGGTAAAACATCTATATATTTTTCTGTTTTTTTTCTACATTATTCTTAGTGCTTCACTTTATTGACATATCAAAACAGCAAAAAAAAGTTCTGTTTTCTTGTTAGATTAAATTCTTGTCTAATTACAATTAGTAATTATATTTGAAATAAAAATAAAGAAAATTTACTAGGTATTACTCTGTGTTTTAGCATTTTTAGTCTTTTATTTTTTTCGTATTTTTTATTCTTTCCTTTCTTCTTCTTAAGCTGATTTATGATGAGCAGTGATTGAGGCTGCTGAAGAGAGAAAAATGATGCAAATTTGGGATATGCAAAAAGAAAAACATTAAAAAAGCGTCCAGTCTTACTTCACTTCTATGAGTTATCGGTCCCAAACTTTCCTATACCTATGTTCTTATAACTTATTATTTCTGGTATTAAATAATAACAGATAATAATAAAAGAATAAATTCGATAATAAATTAAGAAAAGAATTTACAATTTTTTAAATCTTGGTGAACATTACACAATCAATTACAATGTCCACGTGCTGTATGAGCTTATCTGCGGTAAAGTACAAAAAATTTTTCAGATTTTTCAATTAATTTTTTAGCACTTAATAATGAATCAAAAATGTACTCCTTATTTGCTTAGCAGATTTTTTCATTTGTACAACAAATTTTTACTGAATTATTTTGGCTGTTTTAAAGAAACAGAAAGACAGCATTTCAAGAAATGCAAAATTAAAAAGCAGTTGACAGTTAAAACTTTATCACTTTTGGTTTTCATTAACCAACAAGTACAAATTATTCCCTATAAGTTTAAATAAAAGCATAACCACAGTCTTATGAGTCTGCTCAAATAGCAGTTTGTAAATGAAATAAAGAATAAAAGTATGTATTTTTGAAGAACTTTTAGTTTGGTCATTTTTAACACGAATTTTATGTTAGATTTGTGAGATAAATGTAAAAAAAAACTTAAGAAAAGTGCTGTTTAACTCTGAGTTATAATTTAGCATAAAACTGACTTTAAAATAGCTGCTTTAAATAGGAGAACTAATTACTAATTACTCTCTTAAATCATCAGTCAAGAAAGCGACAAAAAAGCTTTCAAGAAAGTAATAAGCTGTAAAATCTACAAGTAAAGAAGAAGAAAGCATTATATACTTGTAACGCTAAAGTAACTTAAAAAACTTTTAGACGCGTTATATTCCTTAAGATCTCTCATTTTGAAAGTATATCGACAAATGCAGAGGAAAGCAAAATTACTCAAATAATTGTTAGAAGCAAACAACACCAAAGACATTTTTCTTGCTTTGCTAGAGCTAATGGATGTTAAAAGTCACATACTAGCTTTCAACAATTGTTAAATTAACATTATTTAAAAAAGTTATCTTATGTTTCATCAAATATTCATGAAACGCGTACACTTGAGGTCTTGCTGGCTGTAGAAGAGATAAGTGTGATATTTTTTCGCTGATTTAATGTGTTTAATTCGAAAAAAAGAAAAAAAGAAAAAAATTAAATCATCTCATCAAAAATTTTGAAAAGACTTTCAATTTATGTGCAATTCTTTGTTCTGATTAAGAATATGAATTTTTGATGCGCAAAACTTATCTTAGAAAAAGTAATCAAATTCTAAATTGATTTCTTCGAAATAGTTTTTTTGCGATGCCTGAGTTCGCACTTGTAGATAATCGGAAGTTTAAGACATGATCTTCAAATTATCACTTGTCATCAAAAACCAAGCCAGCTGCAGATTATTATCCTATTGATTCCACAGTCGGTAAACTAATTCTTTGGAAACAGGCCTCTGATCACGAATGTGATCACGGCAAATCAGTCAGACCTTTATTCTCGTTTCTCCGTTCAATTTCTGCCTTTCTAAATCTTAGTTACATGTCGGTTTTTGAAAATGTAAGTTTAAGAACATTTTGGTTAAATAAAATTGGCAGTATGGTAATTATTAATGCACTGGTCAGTCACAACTGCGTTTTCCCTGCTTTCTGTTACTCTCTCAACCTGATTAATTTTGACGGCTGAAGAATGCTCGTTCAAAGACAATTTAACCTTGCACAAAACTATAAGAGAGATTTATTAGTTTGGCTGCATCTTGAAGACTAGATTTTTCTATCAATTCACTTATAGCCTTAAGCCACATCGCAGACAATTTTCAATTTTTCGCCAATCTAGCTGTCAATCTTTTTGGAGATTTTGGTGCATGCAAACTATAAAATGGAGGAACAGTCTGGAAGAAGTTCTGGTTAATCAGCCGTCTCTAATGTATTTAACAGACCAATTCACGCCAAGTAACATGATTTCCCCCAAATTATTGAAGGTTTTTCAACTTTTCCTTGTAACTGTTTGCAGACTAATGCATAATAAAACAGTGGAAATAAAGTTTCAAAGATAAAAAATTGCTTGAAAACTATAAAGTTACGCTCTCAAACCTATACTGCAAATTTCTATCATTTTTAGTTATGTGAATGGCACTAAATTCGCATATGCCTCGCTAATGCAAAGTTTCTCAACTTTACAACTACAGGTGCATTACGTTGGGATTTCCTCCGCTTTTCCCTTGAAACAAGTTTTTTAGGGTTGTCAAAACTACTTTAGTTAGAAAGTAATGTGCTAATGTGAATGTCCTAAAAGCAAAAGTGCTTTGTAAATTATCAAACAGTTCGTGCAGCAAAAATATACAAGCAATTCTATGTTATTCTTCTTCACAGAACTG